GCACAGCGCAGTGCGAGCATCGCGCGAGGCGTCATCATCGCAACAACCATCATCCGGCGCGGCGGCACTCTATGACGCCACGCGAGCTGAGCTGAGCCTGGTAGTTCCGGAGAAGAGTCTGCCCCGGTCCACGAGGAAGCTCCGCCGCCTGCACTATAGTCATCGTCGAATGATGACGAAATCAGTCGCGGCCGACCATTATCCGTCACGCGATCGCTCTCTTCGTGTATCGTACGACCCGAGGGGCTCTCGAGAGACGGAAATCACATCAAAACCGAATGATTCTGTACACGCGCACATTAAAATCGCGAGAGAGCTGGATTACAGGCGTTCACCTGAGCTGAATTAAGCTAGGGAAGAAAAAGGGAACAGAGAACAGAAGAATAAGAAATTACAAAGACGAGAGAGATCGACTACGTTTACTTGGCGTTTCGATCGATAATGAGCGAGAAACGCCTGTGAACTTTGTCATTTTAATTTTTAGCAGTGGTATTCGAGGTGACACGAATAATTAATTAAATGATGACGAATGCGTGCTCGTCGCTGAAAGTTTGTCGTTGTTATCGGTGGCGCGTACAGAAAGTCGCGAGAAATAGCCTAGTGCAATAAGAGGAAGGACGTGGACGCGGTACGGACAACACGATCGGATATTGCTATTCTCGTCCGCAACGAGACCGCTCGGTCGTTCGCTCCGGAGCCTCCAGCGCCCGCAGCCAGACGCTTATTAATCAATTGATCCCCATCAACGGATTAAAAAAAAAAAAAAAGAGAGGAACGTAAGCTAAGCGCCTTTCTCCTCGCCAAGAGCGACAACCACGTTACGGCCGAACACGAATACGGTGGGGCGAAGGGGTACGGGAGAAGGGTGGGAAAGAGGTGGTGAAAACTCGGAAAGAGACACGAGTTTTTAGTCGCGGCGGTACTACAGTGCCCTGCTGTATCCACTAACCTCTGCGAGTTACCCAGCAACCAAAGAAGACTGAAAAACCTCCGACGGCGGCATCAGTTATTATACGATTGCTAATACTAATAACTTCAATTTATTATATATATTATTTTATTACTATTATTGCTATCATTTCTATTATTGATAGTATTACTATTATTATCCGCTTATAATTATTCTTTTGTAATTGGTATCGCTGCGCATCTGCGTCACTTTTATTGCTCTTTATCTCGCGATTGTTGTGCGGTAAACCTAAATTATCGTTCTAACGTAAAAATATATTTATGTTGTACGACGTTGCATACTTATATGAAATCTCGTATGAAACCGTTCGATGAGGAACGCGGCGAGATGTGCCGTTAATCCACGATGAACAAACGGTAATATTTGTTAACGCGATAACACTCGTTACTGTAAGTACGTAATATTTAAACTGTATTTATTATTAGGAATAATCATTTTAAATTAGATCTTGTGCCGGATTCTAAGACAAATCAATTTTCACGTTCTTTCGCAGTTGCTAATCAAATCTGTAAGACATTTGCAAAACATGTAATATGAAAGAAACGTAATATATGTCGATCAAGATTAATTTTCTAGAAATTTTGTCAAAGACAATTTCCCTGACTAATTCAAAATTTTTTAAAATTTTGCGTTAATTACAATTGACTCTAGTTCTCTATGACGGTCTTCCCAAATTTTTTTCAAACATTAGTTTTAACGAAACCGGTACGAAAGATTTGCCATATATACTTATTTAATCGTATTCCTTTGTGTAACATTATTTTGCGTAAGTTTTGAGAAGCACGAAGGTGAAACTGAATAGTAAGATACTCCCGACGCGAAGAAGAAAAGGGCGACTTCGACCGAAAACTCGGATCAATTTAATCGATTTGATTGACAGAACTGCTCGCGCAACAAAATTTCTAGGTGAATAATTCTTTGCCGCTGATCTCTAATCTTGTCTTCTATGTATTAAGAAATTAATATAGTAGAATTCCATTTATATCAACAAGTTCATTTATACTAACAAATTCATACTCGGTTCTGAATTCAGTCCTATTGTCAAAACTACGGCGCTGTAGTTCGGATAATAGTAGAGACCTTCTAATCAGAGACTGGGCTATATGAGGGTCACTTTTGATTGGTCCGACATTTTCCGTCAATTCGTATTAGTCAGAATGAGATAGCACATATCTTCTCTCTTGCACCACTGTAGAGTGAGACAGCATATATTTTTTCTCACTCGTAGGATTTTGCTACAATATGTTCTTAATCACGAAACACAATAGGTGTGAGCCTTATGCCTTAAGAAATTGGCCAATCATAGTTAATTATTCTTCTCACATTCGATGAACACACTGTGACTGATCAATTTCATAAGGTTTATGCCCGTATTCATAGTCAGACTTTACCATACTTAAGGCTTCCTTAAATTTATCTTTAGATGCTCAGTAGCCAATGAAATAATTTGTAGAGCATCTGAAGATAAATTTAAGGAAGCCTTAACTATAAGGCCTGACTATGAATACGGGCCTAAAACATACTGCATCTGTTGTGTTTCGGGACTTGTAGCCAATCCCTGATTAGAAGGTTTCTAGAATCTATTATAGAAGCTCGACGTACTTGGCTTCAGTTTTCTAAACGTCGGCTTTTATACTAATAAATACTGGAAGAGAGGAAAGTTAGTGATCCTTTATTATCCAAACCGGTAATCGGAACTTGGCCTCCGATATTTGAATAAACGGAGTTTTACTGTAATCTTATTCATAACAAAATAGCATTACCTGAGTGGTTGTTCACCGACAAGCTTTATCGATTTTGGTCGAAGTCACTCTTACTACGAACGTGATACCGAATATCATCTTCAGAGCAATATAATCTAGCGGCTGCTTATAACGAAGCCAACAAGAAAACCTGTACGTGCCGATATCGTGGTTCGAGAGAACTTGAGCACCTAAGCAAGTCAGAGGACACCGTTCACGTTCGATTTAGGCTCAATTGTTACAGCCGCGAAGGCTTAGCAGGCTCCGCTCGCTATTTCGATGTCATGATAAAATGTTATTCGACGTCGTGCGTATCTCGCGCGAAGGCGTTGATTCACCGTTTACCGTAGGTGCCTTATACTCGACAGTACGAATACATACGTAGTCAGCTGACGTCGACGTCGCCTATGCTCGCGTACACGAACGTTTTGTAAATAAGCGCGTACAGTTAAGCGGCTAGAATGGATCTTATTCTGGCGATGGGCGTCAGCATTATACACTGGCGATTATTATTAATTATTTATACGTTACGACGTAATTTTTAGTGCTACCTACCCTGAACTCTCCTCCTCCCCCCTCCTCACCCATATTACGTTTATTACGGACTTGCATCGTCATGATTATTTAAAGTCATTTCCCGCAAGCTGTCAATCTTGATATTAAACGAATTAACATTAATTATTGGATAAGCGACATGCTCTTGTATACCGATATGCTTCATGTATACACGCTGTTTTAATTTAAAATCGACGCGGTCTCTGTAGCGCGGCTTACGTCTACGCTGGGGATAGAAATATGTGAGAAGCTCGGTCTTTATTTTTTATTAAACTTAGCCAACGGGAGTTAGCTGACGAAAGATAAATAAAAACGGCGTATATTATGTGACGTTACGTAGCGTAGGAGGGTTGGCGTTGCTCGTTGCGTGAAGCTTGGGGAAAAGAAAAGGCGAGGAGCGGACGTTTCTCGAATCGCACCGGGATTCGTTTTGCGCGAAATTGTGCCAATTGTTGTGCTGAAATACAGAGTGATACAGAGCACGATTAATTCAAGCTGTCACGGTGCAGCGATACATAACGTGAAGTTGACGTTACGGAGGAAATGAATTTGTATATTTTGCTCTCGCAGCGCGTTCGACGAGTATGACGTCCGTATGCTCCCTAAGATGTAAAAATTCACTTTTTCTACCCGTGTACCCGTGCGATCACGCGGACGGCGATCGGAACTACTATTTTTTTTTTATACAACGCGATAATTTTAATTAAATCTTTTGTATTTTTGCGACAAAGTAGGCTGCTGAGAGACGCATGACGCACACTTCAATAGTTTTGTAGAGAATGGAGATCGATGCTATTCTGTACTGTGCCAAAATGATTTATTAATTAAATGCCAATTATTATCATTATTACCATTGCTATTAAATAAGTAGAATAGCCTTACAATTTCTCAAACATGATCTTATCCATGTTTAATTTATCAACGCCTTGCTTTTAGCAGAAAAAGCAGCTTTGCAATTTGTAAGATTGTTTAACATTGGTTTTTGCCTTTAATTCCTCACTGGATAAAAAATATATAAACTGAATAAAAATATATAAACAATCATACTAAAAAATCTTATAACAATTGCAAAGCTGCTTTTTTCACTAAACGTAGTCAGTTATAAATTTACATCGGTACACATCTTACGTTTTGTTTTTAGTGTATTGTGATCCATTTAGTGTATTGTGGAGCGAGAAGTACAGGACAGACAACATAAGTGTTTTATTCTCGAAAAATATTGTGTATGCGAAAATATATACTAAGGACATCTATAATATTATAATATATATTTTAATATTTTCGTATATCTTCGAATGTGCGATATTTTTCGAGAATACAGCCCCTGTACGTTGATCTCCATCAGACAGACACACTAAATTTTACCAACCGTCGGTCCTGTACCACCGTTGATTTCGATTTGTACCTGAAGAAAGGAGCATATTATATTCCAAGAATTCGTGCGTCTATAGAATACCATAATGGATAAAAAAAATGATCTTAGTTTTTCATAGCTCGCGCTCTATTAAGATATCGCCGTCTATACTAAGAGGTAGTTTTATCGAGACAACAATCGATAATTGGTGTCGCGAATTCTCGATGTAATTTTGCACAGCCCGAGATCTCGAAAATTCTATCTAAAATCTAACGGCCTGCACTGTCACGTGCCTCTGGAAAGCGAGTTCTTCCTCCGCAATTACAAGTTGTACCAGTCGTCTTCAAGCTTTACATCAACATGGAGCTTATGTGTGATAATAACGCGCGTCGTGACGCATTAAACAATTCTAACAATTGCCGAGGATTCCCACATCGTAATAGTAAGCAGATTGCTTTGTCTTTCGGAATATCTTTTTCCTGCAATTGGCGCGCGATATCATAAGATACTGGATTTATTTCCGGACAGTTGGAAAGAAATGTCAAGAATTTACACCCCTCTCCAACGAATGCATATATGATTCACCAATTGTAGGAACCGAATAGGTGACCACCAAAGCATGACTCACGAATTCGATTGATATTCTACGCATTCTTAATCCCGCGGGTTTCTCGACGGTTAGCCTTCGTTACCGCAAAGAAACCCGTTCTCCAGCGGTTGGGATCGATCGATTGGCATACGTACTTCGAGCGCGGACTAAAGGAGACGGGCGACAGTCCTGAAGGTGTACCGAAGACCTTCTGGCTACTCATGTCGGCGTACGTCGTATCCACTTCCCAGGCGTTCATGAAGAACGGTTCTCCATTTAAGGACCACCGTGTTGACGATTAACAGGGCTCCCGTTAACGAACTTTTATTTCGTTTCTGTGACCATCGTGAATACAATCTACTTGTGAACCCGATTTCGCCGATTTCCTCCAGAGGTTGCTTTATGCCCGTTGATGATTCTTATACGTGCGTTACAAACACAACTGCCAGCCGGTGTTTTCCGATCAAGGTCTCGATCAAGGTCAATCAGATCGATCGTACGTCATATACATTGTTTCCAGAAATTTTATCTAAAATTAAAACTTTTCTAAAATAAAAATATTAAGAAAATAAACCTCTCTCTCTCTCTCTCTCTTATTCTCTTTGTCTAGATATACATAGGTCGTCTGAAAAGTTTTGAGCCTCAACATGAAGATGGCATTACTCGTCAAAACAATTTTGGTACTATAATCGTACATACTTTGAAAGATACCTGCGAAAATTGTAGCTACTTCCGGCGCTTAGTTGTTGTTTGACAGTCATTTGTGCCAGTCAATGTCAATGTTTTTGTAAAAATGGAAAAAATCGAATATCGGCAGTCGCCATGATAAAAATTCACGAATTGCGGTTCGAATTAATTGACCATCCACCGTATTCACCAGATCTGGCCCCCAGCGACTTTTTTCTGTTTCCTAGGCTCAAAGTTTGGCTCGGAGGACAGAAATTTTCATCAAACGAGGTCATCGCATCCGTAGACGCCTATTTTGCAAAGCAAGACGCTCAGTATTATTTGAATGGATTAAAGGGGTGGGAGCATCGCTGGAAAAAATGTATCGACTTAAAAGGAGACTATGTGGAAAAATAAAATTGAATTTGACCGAAAAATTACTTGTTTCTATGTTAGGCTCAAAACTTTTCAGACGACCCTCGTACATATACATTTACTTCATACATTTACGCCGATGCGACCAGCCATGTCGGCCGCACGTCCTCCCCCCCCCCCGCATGCCGTATTTAGCGGTCATTTATCCAAGCAAGCTTCCATGCCATCATGACCGGACGTACTTAGGATCAGGGTGAGCCTGTTCCCGGTTTGAAGCGTACCGTAATCCCTTGATGTCGTCGATTAACTGCGAAAGGAAACCCCGGCAATATATCTCCGGCAGTTTATCGCTTGACTCTGCGAGAAATATCGCGCATGATATTAAATCTATGATGCATATATAAAACGCGGTAGTTTCAAGGTGAGATTTTGCGTAATCCCGGAAATATCTGGCATATCTCCGGATGAAGGTGAACACTTGCTGCCTAGGGAAGCCCAATCCGAACAGTTACTGCGTTACAGAAGTGTATACAGTTTTCTTAAACCTCCCTCTAATTGTGTCTTCTTTATATACTTTTACGAATGATTATGTGAAAAGAATAACAATTTTTGAAATTTTTTGAAATAATTTAAATGTTTTACTGACTTTGGTTTTATATTATAAACATGAATATTTTTGCCATAATTCAATGAGTTACGGCACTATAATCGAATGACAAATATCTTGATACATTCGGATACTAATGATAATCTCAGAGTTTTTTGGGTAAGTTAACTTTTTTTTAACTAAGTTAAAGTTAACAGCCTTGAAAAAATTTAACTTTATTAAAATATACAAGTTAATCCATAATGAAATTAATTGAATTAAAAGTTAAGTTAATAAAAAAAGTTATTGAAAAGTTAAAAGTTACATTTGGTCTGAACGGACAACCAAAAAAAAGAAAAAGAAAAAGTTTGACCATTTTACACAATTTTTTGTATTTGTCCTTTCTCACAGCATATTTATTAAAGAATCTGGTTATTTTTGTTCACAAGTAACGATTATACAATATAAAATTATATACTCATTATCCTCTCGCATCGTGTCTGAGGATTAATTTAAAAAAATCAAATTAAGAGTTAATTACCGACAAAATGTAGGTAACTAAATTAAGTTAAAAAGTTAAGAGTCTAAAATGTAACTAAAAGTTAAGTTAAAATTAATTAACTTTTTAACTTAACTTTTATCTTTTTAATTTAGCACTACCCAACCCTGGATAATCTTATCATCACTCATAAAATGAAATAGATTTGAGTATCTTTGCGGAGAGAATCTCTTATTTTTATAAAATTATATGAATATAATACATATATCGAACTTGGCAATATCGAGATATTTTATACTAGGCAGAGCGACAAGCAGATGCTTCCGACTTTCGAGTATCAGCAGGTAAATAATAAATAACAAATATAAACGGACGCCGGACGTTGAATATCAGATATACCATTTGCGCGGCAAGTATATTGTCGTGGTGCCATCTACGGAATGACGCTGACATGCGCGCGCAATTGAGAAATTTAGCATGTGGCTTGTCATATATATGGTCCGCCGTACAAATCTCGCGTAGAACTTTCCTGATTCCGTCCTGTTCGATCATTGATGCGAGATCTCGATCAGATCGCGAGTGAGACCGCGAATTCGCGAACGTCGATCGTAAATCGCGCTTCGCGGAAAAAGAAGAATTTACGAGAAAAAGCATCAGCACGCGCGAGGGTGTTTCTCGATGCGAACAGTGAATGTGGCGTGCTTATCGATCGAGCATTCTTCGATCGCTTCGTCGCGAGCCGAAGATACGTGTGGGACAATCTCTCGTAGAGGATCGCGCGGCGTTTTTACCGACGGAACGATTGATCGGGAAGGTGGAGGGGAAACTCGGATTTCTTGACGTGTTTCGCTATTATTCGAAATTTTCGATAGATCAGCGGTGCGCACGTGTGCTCATCGCGCGTAACGAGAGTGACGTGCGCTATCGCGTGGATCGAGCGATCGAGTTGATCAAAGGCTGCATTGGCTGCAATCACAGGGGAGTTGGTGACGACGCAAACGACGCTGTACCGTCACTCGTTCCTTCTCTCGTTCTCTGCTCCGTTGTTCCCCTTTCTCTCTTTGCCTTCTCCGCCGCCGCCGCCACCACCGCCTCCTCCTCTTCCTCCTTCTCCTTCTCCTTCTCCTCATATTCCTTCTCTTTTCGCTTTTCTCGGTCGACCGGTCGACCGGTCGACTGCCTTCTCAAGGGGGCGTGCTTGCTCGCTTCGCTACAACAATGAGCGAACGCGAAACTATCTAAGCACGAGGCGCAAACGAATCCGTTGTTCGTGTGGTTCGTGTGTGGCCCGGCCGGCCACTCCGTGGCACTCGATCGCGAACAATCGTGGCACGTGAACGTCGTGAACGTCGAGTCGCGGAGATCGTGATTCGTGGGGGCCTACTCCGCTAACTCCGCTCTGCGTATCTGCCATCGACCGATCCAAAGGGATAAGAAGGGCCCTCCGCCGACGAGCGTTCGGACTTGGAACGCGCGTGGTCCCGTTGTGCCTCTCGAAGCTGGCCTCTCTCATCTCGCCACTACGAGGTATCTCCGCTTATAATTATATCGGATCCAAATATACGCGATTTGACCAAGTCTCGCGTGAATACCTCCACGATCGATCGACGACGGATCGACGAACCTTTCGGCCTGAAATCTCGTCGCCCGTGGTAGTTGGCTTCTCTTTGGTATTCCCGAGTGCGATAAACGTGCACGCGATAAACTGATTTTTCATCCTTTCTCCTTCAGTGCGTCTGTGATGGATTATTATCCAACAAACGGATTAACGTATGGTATTCGATCTTCTGGAGAGGATATAAGTAAGAATTTAGACAAACGACCTTCGCCAGTCAACGATCTATCATTTTTTTGGTCGGATGAGCAATCGATGTTGAAGAACTGCTGAAAAATAGGATAGCTTTTACTTCCGCGAAATAGATTGATCTCTCGCGTGCTTAGTGTCGGTGAGCAAATAATTACGTTTATTCGAGATCGTTAATCTAGATCTAGATGGACAATCGTATTCTTCATCAATTTCTTAATAACTTATTTTTCATCGTGATTGCTGGAATAGTAAAAGAATTAAACGGAGCAGTGTATCGCTTTCGTGATACGTAAGTTGATATCCTTTGATTCTTGCACGTGTTTTAATGAATCTGTCCAGAATTTCTCTTTGTGAATAATCAAAATATTGACGTCATATAACTAGTATCGAATTTTAATAGATTTAACTTCAATTTGTATTATCACAAATAACTTTGTGTATATATGTATGTGCGTGCGCGTGTGGAGCTGTGTGTGGAATTTCGAGTTTCACGCCAATATACATCGTTTCATCTTCGTTTCGTTCACGAGGTCTTTCTGGTTTCTGAATTCTGAAATTTGAACGAGAAAAAAAATTTGAACAAAGTTTATTTTTGCCAACGATCGTAGGTCGATTTTTTGTACGCTCGTGTGTGTGGCTATTTGCACTGGCAATATTTTTATCGCGATATTATGAAACGTTTAGAGCGTGAGTTACGCGGGATAGTAAATATTTTCACACCTCTGTGACTATTTGTAGGTACGCTGAGAGAATCGAACGTCCAACGTCGTTTTCTCGGAGATACGTATTTTTGTTTATAGGCGAGTTTATCTCTGGCACAGAATTTTAAATTAACTTATTGTTACTGCAGATGAGCGAAGCGCCCAGTGACGTTCGGCTGATTATTTCCTACGTACAGGCGATTAATTAATAGAACTTGATGATGCGTAAATATTTAAGTATACACACAGAAAAATACATACTGTACGCAGGTAATAATTAATTGTTTCGCAAGTATTTCAAAAGTTCGAAAAGATTATTATGAAGAAAATATTTTTATTAAGGATAAGCGGTACTTAAAAAAGAAAGTAAATTGAGTAATCACACTTTTCTTAGTAATACAATGATATTTTTCTGTGTATAGAATGAGCCCACACCTGCACTCTTGTGTCAAGAGACCTATTCTTTTTAGATGAACTTGCATTGTTCATCTTTTTTCTTTTTCTTTTCACGTTGGAGAGAGAAAGAGAAAACATGAACTGGACACGTATTATGGAATTGTTCAATTATTCCTTAGATTTCTATTGTGTTTTCTAGAGAGAACGGAATAATTCGGAATCCATTTTGTACGGTTTCATGATCTATGCAAGAAATTCAACTAAAAAGAACAAACGTAGAAAGATAAGTACCCGCTTATTTATCTCGTGGGGCGCGGATTTTGCTTCCTCCCGTCTGTATTTTTCGATCATTATGGATCATCGCGAGCGATAAACGCGAAACGTTCCCGCCGTTCGTTTTCGTGAGACAAATTTCGTAATACCTTGTGTTTCGGTAAGTGCGTTAAATAACGTCGTGTAATCTCCGAGGACCGGGAACAACGACTTGATTGTCTCCCTGAGCACGTCGCGTTGCACGACGCGCAAAATGCGCCGAACGGGCGCGACTCACGCGGTATAAAGTACATCTATTTTCCTTGTTTGTAGAAACAACTCGATGGAACACGTAACGAGGAAGCGACTAGGGTGGTACACTTAAAGTTCCCCGTAGGATGTGTCATGGCTTCGTCCTTAGGGGGGCCAGGAATGACGACAGGCGTCCCGCCGCCCCGAATAGTCAACCTGGAATTTCCCCCACCTCCACCTTATCCGCCGCCTCACAATCAGGTAAATTTCGAAATGCGGATCATTAATTTCGCTAATGATGCACATTCGTGCGTTTCATTGCTCGCGGTGACAATGAGTGGAATAAACGACTCTTACGAAAAGATACATTCTTATTTATTCACACGTATTTCTTTAAAGCATCGTAATATTCTAATAATGCTTGACGCTCTTTAGTGTCCAAAAGTCTGCTTTCATCGTGCATAGCGGCGCTTCATGTTTTTCGCAGATATCGTGTAACGCGTTAATGGAACCGGTATCGCCGGTGGTGTCACCCATCACGAGTTCACGCCAGCATCTTTTGGATTATTCGTATGCATACTACCAGTCTGACTCGGGTCATTTCCATACGACATATCCGACAGAGGTGCTGTCGCAGCAGCAGCAACAGCAGCAGCAGCAACAACAGCAGCAACAGCAACAGCAGCAGCAACAGCAACAAGAACAGCAGCAGCTGCTGCTGCGACAACAGCAACAGTTGCAGCAGATAAGGTCGGATCCTTTAAAGAGACATACTTACACAACTTGCTACGGTACGGAGGAAAACATTTATGAAGAGATATCGGAAATCAGGTGAGCGTCCATTAAAAGATCATCTGCAAACGAGTTATCACCTCTGTAAACGAGTTATCACCTCTGAGAAATACTTAAACTTGCAAGTCGCCAAACATCGCGATTTTCACTTATAGAAATTAAAAACTGACGAAGGGAGAATCAAAATTATACTTTTATTAAAACTCTATTGAAAATATTAGCGTTTACAAATAGTCTTAAAACAAATTTTCTTGCGGGCATAAGCGAGTAATACGCGCGGCGCAAGTGAACAACAATTTACCAACTCCCCACGGTTCAATGTATCTTGAAGCGGATGCCGGAGATAGCGATTGAGTTAGGAATAATAAGAAAACAAGTTGTGGATTATTCATCCAGCGTCCTCGACTGGCGCATAAGTCATTGAGACGAGATAAACCGCGCGCGCGTTCAAATTGAGAACGCTCGTTAAGTGCATAACTATATTATTTCATACATTGTCGAGTGACCATAGATAACTTGTAATCTATCTCTTCTTACGAGCAGTGAAATCAGTGCGCGAATTTAATTTAATTTTATATTTACTTTGCGCCCCGAGTATTCATATATACATATAATTAGTAATTTTAGAATGATCGTTTCTCAGAACGTAACGGCAGTATAATGTAAATATCGCGAAAGAATTAAGCAGATCTCTTTTCAAACTATACCCGATAAATTTTTCAGCAAGCAATGCCATCGCGCGTTACACGGATCGCGAAGGTCACTCGTGGCAGAAGAGGTGCGTCGCGTACAATCGCGGCATCGTCGTGTGCTCGGGGAACTCAATTTAAGCGTGGAGGCAATGCTAATGCCTCCAACCACGGTCGACAATAACGAGGAAGAAATGGCGCAGGAAGCTCATGGAACCTCCACCGAAGAACTGTTGCCTTCGGTTGGCCCCGCCGACGATCTCCTTTCTCGCGTTGGATGCGACATGGACAGCGGTTTCAGCGGGAGCTCTACCGCGAGTTACAGGTACATTAAAAAAAAATGTTATCCTTCTATTCATCTGCCTTCATTCGCGCGGATAAGTCACAAAAATACTATGTTTTTTAACGATATTTTCAGTTCTGCAAGCAAATCTATCTTCCAGTCTTATTTGAATTCGATTCACAGATCGGGTTTGGGATCTTTAAGAAGGGGAATAGGGAGAACGAATGGTCCGGAACCGATGGGCGTTCTACGTAAGACGAA